CAGTGAAGGAGCTGGACGTTGCCGAGCACGCCGCCAAGGAGCAAGTGGCCGAAGTGAAGGAGCTGGACGTTGCCGAGCACGTCGCCAAGGATCAAGTGGCCGAAGTGAAGGAGCTGGACGTTGCCGAGCACGCCGCCAAGGAGCAAGTGGCCGAAGTGAAGGAGCTGGACGTTGCCGAGTCTGGGGCAGCCGCTGTTGCGGCCGATGCCGTTCATCATGCCGACGGTTCGTTGCAGGGCGGGGCAAAGCATGACGTGCCGGCTGGTGGCGATCACAAGGCGGCTGAGCACCACGACGAACACACGAGGGAGATGTAGTAGGTGCGGTGGGCCCCCCCTCGCGTTGCGCGTCTCTGCGTGTGGTGTGCACGTACTTGCCTCTTCAGCCCCACCGCCGCCGCGTTGCCTGCGGGGCAACTGAGGGGCAGGGCTGCGAGGAGGGGGGAAAGAGGTGGGCGCCGCCGCCCACACAACGCAATGAACGTCACGGCGGGGGATGCGGAACAAAAAAAAAGAACCAACACCAAAGGAAATCAAAGGCAGCAGGAAACCAAGAAGCAAACAGACGGGGGGAATGGCTAGATCGAGCTCCGCCCCTTCCATTCAACGAAAAGAAGAAACAAAAACAAACCAAAAAGAAAAGGATGCCCGAGAAGAGGCGCTGGGGAGGGTGCGTGTGTGTGAAAACATCGGCGATGTCTGTTGCTCTTCTTGTATGCGTTTTTTTGTCTGCGGGGCGGCCGGGGTTGGCCAGTGCCCCGCATGCATCTACTCGCGGATCGCCCATATTCTTTCTCTGCGACTGTGCGGGCCTCTTCCGCCCCTCTTCTGCCGGGCGGCGCTCGGATGCCTGTGGAGCGCGGGGGAGGCGCAGGCTCAAGCAGAGTGATGTAATGGAGACGGGCGACCGAGCAAACTTAAGCAAAAGAAAAAAAACGGAAAAAGGAAAATGAGAAGGAAAGGAAGACACACGGGACAGATGAGGGCAAATGGGAAGTAACGGGGTGTGTTGTGAAGAGTTCATTTCTTTTTTTTTTTTTTGTTTTTA